ACGAAGACGGCACTTGAAGAAGAAGATTTATAAGTAGTATTTTAAGAATTAACTATTGTGTTGTTGCCACTTTTTTGTATATAAACTGCGAGACATAAGTTAAGGATATAGTTTAATATTAAATAAACAATAATACAACACTTATACAACTGTATGAATCAACTAAGTCACTCATCTACATCAACACTATATTTTTGATTTTTCTATTCAAATAAATAAATAGTTAAATTAAATTTATAAGTTGTTTATAGTTTATTATCCCATGAAACGATGCCGAAAAACCACTTGAAAAATCGAACAATCACTGGGCGCTATTTTTTAACTAGAATATCTGGGTATGTCGAAAAAAAGGACGTATTATCTCCTGGTAATCGAAATGTCATGAATGCGTCATGACATTTCATCAAAAAAGGGACCGTTTTCATTATTTTCAATATTTAAAAAAAAACTAATCATTCTAGTTTAAAACATTCAACAGACGACTTTCTTGAAAATATTTTCTATTTAAAATGAGATTTTCTAAATTAAGAGGCTACATGAACGCCTCATCAAGACGGAAAACGCGGTCCAATGTTGCAGCTTTAATTTTGAATATTTTGTCGAGATATCTATCACACATATACGTAAAGTATATATATATATATATATATATATATATAATATATATATATAATATATATATATATATATATACAGATTGAACCAAATTAAAACGGAACATACAATTTAATACATGTCTGTTTGAACTGCATTTAAAATAGTGGACCAATATAAAACTTGGACAAAAATAAATCCATACCTGGGTATAGACATTGTATAAAATATCGTTCAACTATCTGTCTCGCAGCAACAAAGTTGTTTGCGTAAGACGGGTTTGTCTAAGGAGGCGAAAATAGTTCAGGAATTGAAGCTCGAAAAAAAGTTAAAACCTCGCAATTTTTTCGTCCTGCATGTATCCATTTGAAATTTTAGCAGAAGGTAGGTAATAGCCCAAGGATCAAAATCTATATCGAACCGAAGTGCGCTGAAGGGTTTTAGGGGTGAAAACTACCCCTAATTGTCAAAAATTATAAAATAACATATTAAACCTGAATATGGGTAAGATTTGGTTTGAATTAATTAAATAATGATTATTTTATACTTTTGAATAGAGTTTCATCATATTTCAACCCTTAAAAAGCAACCCTTGTTAGAGATTAATGTAAAAAATTACTAATTCTAAAAAAATGATTTCGCCTTGTATCATTTGAATAAAAATTTGGATTTAAGCTCAATTCACCCGCTGCTTTATAGTTTATATCATGCCGATGAACCCTGATTGTTCCTAGGGGTGAAAACTACCCCTAATTTTCAAAAATTGTAAAATAATATTACAAATCCTAAGATGAGTGAAATTTGGGTTGGATTAGTTAAATAGTGAGTTTTTTATACTTTAAAATACAAATTCATACATTTTCAACCCTTAAAAATCAATTGTTATGAGTGCTATAGGTGAAAACAATTTTTTGCCAAAATTTTGCAACTTTTCAACTTTTGAAAATCACCCTTTACAACATTGAAGTTTTTATAAACTAATTTATAAGATATAAATTGAAAAAAGTAGAATTAAATACAAAAAAAATTATCAACATAAAAAGGCACCATATATTCTTATACATTTACATAAATAGTTGAAAATATTTACATTTATAGGTAAAACAATTATAATATTAATTTTATTCGTCATCAATTACATCTTCATCGTGATCTATGTCATCATCATCTTCCTCAATTATTGGTGGACTGTTATTGCACCCTTCACCTGAGCACCCAGAACAAGTAGAGTTACAGTATAAACCAACTTTTCTGCACCCATATGAAACGCCGCATCCTTTTTTGCATTGGCAAAAAATAATTTTCAAAAATTTATCGGGTGCAGGTTGTTTGTTCATGCGTACGGGTAATAACAAACCATCTTTGGAAAACCATCCCCAATCTGTTGCTCTGATATTTTCATTGCCAAGCCATAGACATATGAGCAGATGTTTTATTCTGTTGTATGGGATTTCAAAATAAGAACGCTTAAAATTTCGAATGTATAACGCCCCACTAGCTAATATACCGGTTTTGTAGATTATTATGCTCCGAAATGTACTGTACTATACTAATGGAATTTTCCGGAAAAAAATTAACTGGTTTTTTAACGTATTTCCTTTAATTTTTAACGATAGATGTTTCTTCAAAAACGATTTGTAGAGGTTTTTAATAGCTACAAGGATCTGTGAAATAAATCTTTTTGGAACCCTTGGTTTTTAAATGGGGTGAGTTTAAAGGGCCCGAAAAAGATGGTGCTTGATCGTAAATCGATGCTTTAAACGGCTATATCTCGCCAAATATTCATTGTACAACAAATCTAAATAAAGGATAATTTTAGTCATTAAAAAAGCTACAATTTGGTAATTTTTATTTTTTTCATATATTCAGTATTTTCTGGCATATTTAAAAAAAGAAGGGTAAAAAATATGAAATTGTAAATCGTTTCTCGCTTTAAGCTGTACTTTTTCTAAAACTAAGCATTTTAAATGGGTCAAACTTCTTGGAAGTATTAATAATACATCTACAAAGGGAATTGCAGAAGGGTGAAGATCGATTTTAATTATGGGGGTGGTTAGGGTGTTGTTTTCCTCGATTTTTTCGTAAAAAATGAGGTATTGACCTTATTTTTTTATGATAGGTCTATTTATGCTCTTTAAAAAAGGTTTTGTGAGTTTTCTTCCAAAAATGCATCATTTTCCCGATATTTGACTTTAAATCTTTTAAATTTGGCATTTGAAGAAAACCGCTGAACATTGATATTGTATTTGTAATTGTATTTGTCTTTTTAAAAGCTACAAATTTGTTCTCTACAATTTTTTTATTAAATTGACCATTTTCGAGTTATTCGCGAAAAATCGATTAAAAACGTGGATTTTTTCGTCTAAAAGTTGTTACTTTCAATCGCGAATAACTTGAAAAATATCATTTTATAAGAAAAATGTATAGCACATTCTTTGTTTAGAATCACTTTTCTAATCGAAACCTGTAGTTAAAACGTAAAAAAAATTTTCACCCCGGAGATGGGGTGGCAACCACCCCCTAGGCTTTGGCGCACTTTGGTTCGATATAGATTTTGATCCTTAGGCTATTACCTACCTTCTGTTAAATTTCAAGTCAATCCGCGCCGCACGAAAAAATTGCGAGGTGAAATGCTACATTTCCTGGACTATAACTGGTTTGACAGCATAATCGTAGATTTATGTGTAGCTTTCAATTTTTATGAGTTCAGAATCCAGCAGCCCACTGAAGTATGGGATTTTTTATAATATAATTATTTGACAATCTTTTGTTGGCCAACCAGCTACAGCAGACTTGAGCCGAAATACATTATATTCCTATGTTCCGAATTTATTTCGTTCAATCTGTATATATGGGAGTATGCAAAACAATATTTTTAGAAATATTGGGTATAGGGAAATGGTGTGTTTTAAATCGGAAGGAGACAAGACAAACACAAAGTGTTCATAAAGGAGAAAATGAAGAGGAAGTTAACAGTATCCCACCCATTACATCTAAAAAAACCAAGAGAAATCTAATTAGGTAAAGAAATAATAAATAAGACTTACTCACAATCAATTTAATTTAACTATCAGACGACCGGTTTCGCTTTCTACAATATCCAAAGCATTTTCAGGTCTCGATACAAAGTTAAATAAATGCTGAAATGATAAACACTCATATTAGGGTGTTGTCTAATAAAGATAAACAAAGTAGATGTTGGAAATTACAATAATTATGCCAATATTACATGTCTGTGGTTTTATTTCAAAAAGAGTAAGTTGAATAAAAAGGTATAAAAGTTTTAAAAGTTTAAACAGACAAGGTAAGGCCCACAAATTGTTATAAAATAGTCTATTAGATTGTAATAAATTAATAAATGAGCAAATAAATAAACATTACTTACATGCCGGTACTCTATTAATTGATGGATGGTAGAACATGGTTGAAAATACCATGTATTGTTGAATGGAGAACTCAATTCTGCTATTGTAGTTGTATGACAGTAAACGGGAAGTTCTTGAGGAGATAGATTTGATCCAATGAAGCAGAGATATGTGTATGATTGTTTGTTAAATGAAACTGATGTAATATACTATTGTATTATTAAAAGTTATTTATACGTATTCGAGAGATATATTTATGAAATGTGTGTTATTTATTGAGTAATTGTTTTATGAAGGTGACAGTTTTATGACAATGAATAAGTTTAGATGTACAAATTGTGTGGGTGTGCAATTATTTTTTAACTTGTAGTTATCAAATCTCTTTGATAAAGTTCTATTGGCAAAAAGAATTTTGCTATTGAATTTTGCTTGAATGATGTTCACGATAACTGATTTAGCATTAATGTTGAGTACTGAAACACTGCTATCTGATATTCCTATAAAACTAAGTATACATTTGTTCTATTCTTTATTTACTATTATAGCCACTATTATAGTCACTATTAATGCCCTATAAACCAGTGTATTGTTGACCGTATCCCGCCACTGGGAGGCACGTACTTTATAAGGGATACAAACTACTGTAAACTAGTATCTTATCGAAAAAACCCGTTTACTTATTGGAAGTGATAAAATCATTATTATATTCTTAGTGTACTTTTTGTAGATCCCGAAATTATGTTTTCTTGAACAATGTTTTAAATTTTTCCGTCTATAAAAAATCTTCCTCGGTACAGATAGAAATTGGTAACACAACCTTTTCAGTTTTTCCAACCATTTACGTTACTCCATATTAAATTACAGACTTCATTTTTTTAAAATAAATTTTATCAATTATTCAAATGTGTAGGATCTAACTTTCCATTACATTCTTCTAATCTTCCTTTCTAAAATTCATACTTTTAGATCTAATTTGTTTGTCAAAATATTTTTGTTCGAGAAATGTGTTATATATGTCTATTTAAGGTAACAAAAATGAATAACAGTTAAATTATTTTTATTTAATTTGACATGGTTTAATACTTTCAACATATCCTAATCAAAGGTCGAGGTTTATTAATAAATAATAAACAAGTACATGGTATATAAACTATATCTCAACAAATTGAAATTAAAAAACTAGTTGCCTATTTAGTTTTAATATTCTCAATCATCTTTTGCTGCTCTTTCTCCACAATAATATCAATGGTACCGTTTTGGTAGATTTCTGGTTTTATAAAAACACTTAGTAAATTTCCTTTTAATGACAACTCTTTTCTGTTCATTAAAAACACTGTAGTTAAAGCTCCTACGAAGAAGTTGAGTGCTGCAAACGTTGCACATGCATTTGAAAATTCGTAATGCTCCATGAGGGATCCTCCAAGAACAGGACCCAGGACCTCCCCAAGAGAATATACAGATGACCATAAACCTGCTATTACCGAATGTGTCGCTAAGTCATCCGCATATCCGTTCTCACTAAAAAATAATAAATAAATAAATATGAGCCATATCAAATATAAAAGAATAAGTTAATTTTAAAAAATTTATTTTATTTTTTGTAAAACTGCAGTAAGACAAATTGTAATAATCATAATCATAATCATCACAAATATCAACGTAGTAAAGCTTTCTTTAATACGAATTTTGTATTAAGTAGATAACTTCTCATTTTTAGTGTTTATCAGTGTAGGTTGTGAATAATCAGGAATTAATAATTCAGTAAGTTAAAAATAGTTGGCCCGTGTGTAGTTGATTTTAAATATTTGAAAAAATTCTGATGTATAAAAGCAATAAAAGAAAGCAAACTGCGGGATGCAAAATTGTCCATATTGTTACATTATAGTCATTGGTGATAAAGTAGAGTTCGTGTAACCTTCTGGCTAAGGTCTAGTTTTAGGGTTTTCAGGTTGCGCAAGCGCACCTAACATGACTTAACGACTACTTTCGTAACCGGGACCGACGCGACGGCTTTACGTGCCTTCCGAGGCAGCTCAGTTAAATTAGAAATTGAAATTTTTGTCGGTGCCGGGATTCGAACTCGAGCCCTCCAGCTTGTTACACCAGTAACACAGCCAATGAGCTACGGCTGCCACTGTCATTGGTGATAAATGTACTTTATAAACTAAATTTTAGTGTGTGAGTGTGAGTGATTGCCGGTATAAGCAATTCCCCACTTACTGACCAACAGCTTTGGGTGGAAGAGTCGGTAAGTGGAAGGGTAACTTCTTGTCCTGGAAATGGAAAATTATTTCTAAAAGCGGACGAACCAGACATAGTCAATGGCGTGGAGATGCATAAGGCAACAGGAAACCAATGCATTAAAGGCTCATAGAGCATCCCTAGTTAATCATCATGACTAACAATACAACCAAACACTCCACTGATCATGAAACTCGGAAAACAAGATCCGACAGAGGAGGAAACTCACAAGACTGCAAGGCCTCCCCGGTCGTCAACATACGAAAACCTTGCAAAGTAGCGACTTTAGAAGTCTACATCAAGCTGGAAAAGTACATAATGCCATTAAAGAAATGGAAAGGCTGAATATAGATATTTTAGGAATCAGCGATGTCCAATGGCCCAACTCCAAGGAAATATAAAAATCAACAATAAAACAATGTATTATTCAGGAAGTCAACACGGTTTACATAGATATGTTGTTGCGATAATATTAAACAAAAACATTGATAAAACTGTAATAAATTTCACTCCATACTCCAACAGAATAATAGTCTTACAATTAAACCAGAACAAACTAAAAATAAACATCCTACAAGTTTATGCTCCAACTGCGGACAAAACAGAGAGCGATATTGAAACTTTCTACGAAGACCTAGACAACATTTTAAAATCCATTAAAACGCAAGATGTAACAATTATAATGGGAGACTTTAACGCAAAGGTTGGGGAAGAAAAAGTAGAAGAATGTACAGGAGGATATGGTCTGGGCAACATTAACGAAAGGGGTGACAGGCTTATGGAATTTTGCCAAAACAATAATTTTTTTATAGCTAATACATTGTTCAAAATGCCAAAGAGAAGACTATATACCTAAAAGTCACCAGCAGATCAAGAAGCGAGAATTGTAATAAACCAAATAGACTATGTATTAGTTAGATAAAGATACGGGAACACAATTATATCCGCAAAAATCGATCCAAGTGCCGACATAGGATCAGATCAAATTAGGCTTGAAATGAAAATAATAAAACGAAGAACAACAAATGCAAAAATCGATGCAAGCAAATTGAGGAACCCACTCGTAAGGCAACTCCTGGCAGATGAAATCAACAACGGATTCTTCTTCTTCTTCAAGTGCCGTCTTCGTTCCGAAGTTTGGCTATCATCAAAGCTAAGCGTATTTTTGATGCTGCAGATCTAAACAGTTGGTAATTGGTGCAATTGTACCATTCTCTCAAGTTTTTCAACCATGAATGCCTTCTTCTTCCTATAGATCTCTTTCCCATTATCTTTCCTGGATAATCAATTGCAGCAACTGGTATTTATCTCCCCTCATAACATGTCCCAAATATTGTAGTTTGCGCTTTGTAACAGTAAGTATCAGCTCTTTCTCTTTCCGCACTCTCCGCAAAACCTCCATATTTGTTACTTTCTCTGTCCAGGGTATTCTTAATATTCTACGATACATCCACAACTCAAATGCTTCTATCTTTTTGGTATCGATCTTTTTCAATGTCCATGTTTCCATTCCGTAGAGGAGAACTGACATAACGTAACATCTCAAAAGGCGAATTTTAAGTTTTAGACTTAGATCTCTTTCGTAGAACACCTTTTTCAATTTAGTAAATGTGGCTCTAGCTTTCTCTATTCTGGTTCTGATTTCTTCAGAGCAATCATTATTTTCGTTGATAACAGTTCCCAGGTAATTATATCTTCTTACACGTTCGATTCTTTGATCATGCACGGTTATGTCAGGGAAGTTTTAACATCGGATTAATGAATGCTAAAAAACAAATTCTGCAAAATACTGAGCCGGATAAGAAATGATTATTAAAAGACAGAAATAGATAAAAGTCAAAAAGAAATTCTAATACCAACCAGATATAAAAATAAGCAATTGATGATGGAAGAAATTTTAGATTTAATGGAAGAAAGAAGTCAATATAAAAACAAAGATAAAGAATTAAGAAAGCGAAAGAACAATGGTTAAAAGAACAATGCGCAGAAATAGATGAATACCAGAAAAGACATGATAGTTTTAACACACATAAAAAAAATTAAAGAATAAACTCAGAACAATAGAACAAGAAACCGGGAATACTGAAAGATGCAAATGGTAAACTTGTGTTGAAAAATAATGACAAATTAAAGAGATGGACAGAATACATCAATGAACCGTTCAAAGACAATAGAACATATTATTAAAAGAAGAAATTAAAATGGCATTAAAAAACAGCAAAAATGGTAAAGCAGTAGGTCCAGACCAAATCTCTATAAAAATCTTAAAATGCATAAATGATGAAAACTTAGACACTATAGTAGACTTATTTAATGTAGTATACAAAACAGGACACATACCGAAACAATGGTTACTCTTCACCTAAAAATACAAACGCTAAATATTGCAGTGAATACAGAACAATATCACTGATGTCACATTCTCAAATTATTCTTTAAAATAATACATGGTCGTATAAATAAAAAACTGTAATGAATGACGCATAGATATAAATGTTAATGTGCATGTTTGTTACGTTGATTTTGAAAAAGTCTTTGAAAAAGTAAGACATGAAAAATTAGTCCAAATTCTAAAGAAAAAAAAACATAGAACACATAGGGACACTTACATTTTTGAAGTAAGTCAAAAACAGCTGTTGTCGTCGCTGTATGTGGTAACCATGTTTTCTATTTTAAGTATTTGATGTGAATTATACGTATTATGTATAAGGGTTAGACCCAAGATCTGTGGCCTAGAGAGCTCGATCTTTGTTTTTTAATATGTTGTTTGTCCACAATTTTCCTTCTATGAAGTATTTATTGCCTAATTGACGATAGCTCTGATGATGACATTTATTATGTCGAAAGTATACTCAGTTTAATTAATAAATTATTTTACATACTATCAATTTTATTGAAAACATACAAAACCTGCTTACGAGATAGACCTATTTAGAAGTGTGTACAAGTCGTACAGTCTTTTTCAATTCAATCTATTAAATAGCTCTGTTAGTACAGGGATTGTTAATGTCTTGCTTGTTTTCAAGAGCTCGGCAATTATAGCGTCGTGTCCTGGAGCTTTATTATTTTTTAGTTCTTTTAAAGCTCTTTCTATTTCGTATCCCTTTATATTTGTTAGTACTTCTGATCCCACGTTTTTTATTTTTCTTTTGACGTTCTCCTTTGTTGTTTCATTAGGCTGGCCTTGCGAGCTGTACAAGGATGTGTAGAAGTCTTCGGACAATATTTGTTATTTTATATTTGTCCTTCTCTACCTTATTGTTAGCGTCTTTAATTTTGATGATTTTTGAACTCCCAGTGCGGGTCTTAGACATTTTAAGCCTCTGTTGTTTTCAATGACTCGCTCTATTAAGTTCTCGTTCCATTTTTGTATGTCACGTTTTAGTTCTTTTCTAATTGTTTTATTAAGTTCTCTATATTCTTGAGTATCGCGTTTGTTACGCTAGTAGTTGTCTTCTTTCCGTCATTAGCTGTTTAGTTTCATTGCTTATTTTGTCTTCTTTAGTCCTTGTTTTCTTTGCGACCTGTAGTCCTGCTGCGAGAAGGTTTTTATTTAGGTTTTTATTAATCTCGTCAATTTAATCTTGATTATGTTAAGGATCAGATTCGAACTTATCCGCTAAGACCTCTCGGAATTGCTCTTCATTTGTTTTTAGTTTAAAGGCATCTATCCTCGTTTTTTTTTAATCCTTTTTCTTTCTTCTTTCATGTTAATATTTATTTTTGCTCTGACTATACGATGGTCACTGCCCGTTGTTAAGTTGTTTATTGTTGTGACGTCTTCAAATATTCCTTTGTTGTTTGAGAGAAAATAGTCTATTTCATTTTTGGTAGTTCCGTTAGGTGCGACCCATGTCCACTTTTTGTTAGGTTTCTTTTTGTAGAAACTATTCATAATATACATGTTCTCTTATTCCAGGAATTCCATGAGTTTTTCTCCTCTTGTGCTTCTTGTGCCGAATCCAAAGTTTCCAATTTTGTTTTCAGAGTCTTCAATCTTACTTCCAATTTTGGCGTTAAAGTCTCCCATTATTATTATTTTGGATTCTTTGTTGTTGTCTATAGCTTTTTTAACGTCTTCGTAAAAAGAATTTATTTCCTCATCGGTTGCTTTTTCAGTTGGAGCATAAACTTGCACGATCTTTATTTTAGTTTTTGGATTTAGTTTTAAGACCATGTATGTAATTATAGTTTATTCGTCTTCCGGGTTTGGACCGTGTCATTTGTGAGTGACCCAAAAGTGGGTTCATCTCAACCCGGGTCCAAACCCGGAAGACGAATAAACTATAATTCTGACTCTAGCCGTGGAAGCCTATGATTCCATGTATGTAACCTTGTCTAATATGCTGTCAATTATTTGAATTTGAGATTTTCTCTTCTTGTTGATTAAGAAATCTACTCCACCGTATGTTTAGTCTTCCCTGCCTTTATAATAGAGTCTGTTGCCTGAATGTAATGTAATGTAATTTAATCTTTACCTCCTTTAATATACATACATAGATACAATACATACACATATTTAGTATACATATAAGAATTTTATGTTGATGCCTGTGCAAATAATCAACGAATTATATAGTAACATTCTATTTTCACAATTAAAAATACGTGTACAAATAAACAAAAGTTTTCGTAATAATTTGTCATTTCGTATTGTCTCGAAATATGCTTATTAAAATCTACTTTATTTCTAGAAGTATTTCATATATACTTACATAGCACTGTCCAAAATAAACTGATATGTAGGCATTAATGCCATTCCTACTGTAACCCCTAGAAGCGACAAACTCAACATATTTAACCACAATGATCTAAAAAAGAAACACCATAAATATGACAAATGCATAACACATAAGTTATTTTTAAGAAAATTTGTTAAGCACATAAAACGTTTCATATAATTTTTTTTATTTCTATTTATGAAAATCTTATGTAACGATGTTTGTCCACGCTAATATTCGAAACCACTGAACCGATTTTCATGAAATTTTGTGAAAGTGTATTGTTAAGTCCAACTTAAGTGATTAGATATTCCTAATATCAATAAATGACCCTTATTCTTTTAATTATAAATTCAATATTTTTACAACACTCCATCTCTACAGTTGTAGGTAATTTAATCTATGTATAAAAAATAAATTACATTTAAAAAGGTTATTTCATCATCATCATCATCAATGGTACTACAGCCCTATGAAAGAGCCTCGACCTTCCCAAGTCTATTACGCCAGGTAGTCCTATCCATTGCCAACCGTTGCCAGTTTGCTGCGCCTATCTTTTTACCATCCATATCTACACCATCGTTCCATCTGAGTTTTGGCCTACCCTTTCTTCTACTTCCCACGGGTTGTGACAAAAGGATTCTTCTAGGAGGGTTGTTCTGCTGTGATCTTGCTAGGTGTCCTGCCCATCTTAGTCTTCCTATTCTTATAAGTCTTTACGTCTTTACCACCAAATATTTGTTTATATCTGCGGTATACCTCGTAGTTGTATCTCCTCCTCCAAACACCATTTTCACAGATGCCACCAAATATTCCTCTCAGGATCCTTCGTTCAAATATAAGCAGAAGGTCTTCGTCTGCCTTGGAGATGGTCCATGTCTCCGATCCATATGTCAACACTGGCTGTATAAGGGTTTTGTATATGGTTATTTTTGTTTTTTGGCTTAAGTTTCTACTTCTCATATGTCTATTCAGTCCAAAATAGCATCTGTTTGCTATTATTATCCTTCGCTTGATTTCTTCCATTATGGCGTTCTCTTTGGTGATCAGGGAGCCTAAGTATGTGAATTTGTCCACCACTTCAAAGGTAGAGTTATCAACTGTGAATTGGTGACCGATGTTCCTGACTCTATTGTTGGGTGTTCATGCCATCATCTTAGTTTTCTCCTCATTTACTTGCAGGCCCATAGATTTTGAGGCATTTGCAAAGGTGGTATACATTTCTTCTAGCTTGCGTGTTGTGCGGGCAACTAGGTCCACATCATCTGCATATGCCAAAATTTGGGATGATTTATTAAAAATATTTCCTCTGTTGTCTTTTCGGGCATCTCTGATCGCCTTTTCCAGTGCTAAAAAGATCATTTACTATTTTTTAAACTTTTCTATAAAAACTCGAGAACGACTGGACCGATTTGGTTAATTTTGATTTTGGAATATTTGTAGAAGTCTAAAGAAGGTTTAAAAGGTAAAAAACATATGATGACTTTGTAAGGAACATAGCAAGAATAACAATTTTATTTTCCCATAAAAACAGTTCGCATCTGTCAAATAGGGTGCATTCAGAAACGCACATAAATATTAAGTAGGGAAAAATAGCTTAGACTGTGGAAAATTAAAAGACCCGTAGTATGTTCATTCCATTGTTTGTTTGGAAATGGAAAAGTCGCTATTGACACGACCGAATTCATCACATTACGCACATATTTCTGATAGTTCATAGACTCAAAAGAGGAGCTTATTCAACGTGTGTTTCTGGACATAGCCCAACAGGTCAATAAAACATAATTGCCTGATTCAATGAGTAATATTGGAGGCAAAAAATACAGATTTCAAAAAATACATATATACATTACTCAAAAAGATAGTTTCGTTTAGTTTTGGTTTACTTTCTAAATTTAGTATATTTTATTCAGATTTCTAAATTTTATTCAGATTAGAGAGACAGGGCCGTGTGACAGAGTCAGATAAGATGATGACATCCATATCGGCCTGTGAATAACCTGATCCTAAATGGTGAGTATGAAACCTTTTATTTCAGGTAAAATTTTTTCTTAACCCTCTAACTGGCAAGATTCTAAAAATTATTCTATTTACTTGGGAATTTTTTTCAAGTTTAATAATGTATTAAGAAACCTAGAAAAGCTATTAAAATGTAATTATCATTTTTTGTTTGGCTTCCAGGTAAAAACAGGTAAAGGGGTCCTCAGGGGGCCCTTGCCGGTTTAAGTTAAAAATAGCGTTTTATTCATTTGAATGGATTTTATTAAAATAAACTTAAAAACAAACGGAAAAGAAAGTGTGTACACTATTTTTTATGGTTATAATTATAAAAACAGTTTTTGGCATTAGAACAACATAAGTGAAGATCACATTTGCTACACATACATTGAGTTTTTGACACTTTGCAAAGTTTACATTTTTTTTTACCACTCTCTTTGTTGAGCCAAAGTGGAAAGTGATCAATACCGTCGAAGCGAATGTCATCAATGGGATGTTGATTTGGATTTGCTCTCAAAAACGGCTCAATGCCAACGTAAGTCGATGCCAGCCGCACGTTCTTGGTATCTTTCCATAAAATTGTACTGAAATCAACACCGTACGCAGATCCAACATATTCAACAGAATATCCTCTTTCTTCATCTTTGATATCCTTATCCAACGGAAGCTTACAGTTTGGGATTCTGTTTGTCCGTATTGTACCAAGGCTATAGATTCCTCTTGCACGTAAATAAACTAACAAAGGTAAAGACGTATAGAAATTGTCGAAGTAAAGGATGTGATGAGAAAAGCTAGGTATGGTCTGTGACAAACGTACAACAACGTTTGATGTACTTCCAAGATCAGGTGCGCCAGGAAGAATTATATTGTCGCCTGCACCGTTGTAAATTTCAAAACGATATTCGTAACCGTGAGAATCACAAAGCACAAATCGTTTGATGCCCCATTTGTGCGGCTTATTATATTGACGGAGATGATGCTTGAGTTTGGTCGAACACATCTGCTCATCAACACACAATCTAGCCGTCTTTGGAATCGAATCAAAACGATTGTTGACCTTACCAGCCAATTTCCGGATGCGAAACAGTGGATCATAGCTTGGCTGACCTTTTCGAATGCGCTGCCTTTCATCTTGAAACGATAAGTGTTTCTTTATTGCCATAAACTTTTTTACAGGCATTGTCTTCTGGACGGGGGCGAACGCGTTTTTGCTCCAGTAGCTCTCTAGATTAGGGTATCGATAAATCGACATGTACATCAACACTCCGATAAATTTCCGAATCTCCTCACCACTCGCGGCGAATTTTGTATTGATATTTTCTTGACGAGCTGCATCGTTCGTTTCATTGGCCACCAAATCAATAATCTCTTTTGTGAAGAAATAATTGAAGAGTTCTATTGGTGTTTCCAGTTCTTTTATTGACGATGGCAACCGTACATCTCCTTGGAAAGCTACTTCGTTTACATGCAAGCTCATTGATCGCTTACGCCACGTTACTTTGGTAAATTGTTCCGAATCTTTTTTAATATCCTGAATAGCTGAAATGAGAATAAAAATAGTACACTATTGCTAAAGTATGAATATATAACTATTACCTCTCCCAGTAAAACCACCAATAGAAGGCGTGATCAAAGGTCCAGAATCTTCCATCATAGTTAATGGCGAACGGGGTCGTTTCTTTGGCTTAGATCTTGCAGCATGTGCGACATCGGCGACTGAAGTAGATGGAATTACTTTCATACATCTAGACGGCCCAGCCTCTTGCTTTTTTAAAGATTCGACACATTCGTCAGCTTCGATTTGCACCGCCGTTAGCATAGTTGATGATGCAGCAGGTGTTTCTATGTCATTGATATTTAGCGACATGTTCACATTTTGAATAAAATAGTCGCTTGTTTCACCTCCTTGCATTTCACGGATACACTCTGTTATCATGTCATCTGGAGCAATCTCATCCTGCTCGTAATCTGGGTCGATGTCTGGATCATCACTGCTATAATCACCTGACGAATCCGTTTCAACAGAGTCCATAAGTTCTTGGATTTCATCTTCGGTAATTACCGACAAATTAAACTTTTTCTGTCTCTAGCTGTTATTGCCTGCCATTTCCAGAAGCAAAATAAACAAATAACTGATGAAAGTTGGTAAACAATAGCACAACAACACAACACAACAATCACAACAAAATGAGACGAAACTTCACATAAACCGGCAAGGGGTCCCTCCGGAACCCTTTTTATTTTCGCTTCTAAAGCACACTCAGAATACTTGTTTTGTAATAATTACTATATATAGTGAAACTTGAAGCTCTAAACCACTCATAAAAAAATGTTTTCACTAAATTTAGATTATTTGTAGTATCATAATTTTACGTCGAAAAAATTTTTTAAATGAGAGATAATTGTTCTGTGTTCACCTCGACCTGTCGCAGAAAACTGAGACAAAAATGTAACGATAGGTTTAATGCATTTGAAACGTCTCTAGACGAACTAGTGGGGGAGATTCAAAACAGTTTGCGGCTACCTGACTTTTACCTGCGGCTTAAATAAACAATAAGCGAAGGGGCCCTCAGGGACCTCTTACCAGTTAGAGGGTTAATAGTTAGAAGCTATATTGTCGACATAATCTTGGTTGACTTGATTGTGATGCCACCTAAGTATTCTTTTTAAGTTATTATATTTTCTCTGACTATATTTAAAACACGGAACTTGTCTGGTCCGAAGGTATACTAATATCATCAGAGAATTTATTAATTTGTTGTAACTAATTAAAAACTATTACTTCTACAATTAAGTGGATGAAATAATTTTGTGGACAAAAAATTAAAAAAAAAAAATACTTACTCAGGCAAAAAATTAAAACAAGGTCCTAAAAATAATAATATCACAGAATTGCCAAATAATCCAACGGTCATTAACCACCAATAAACTTGAAGCTTATCTGTTAAGTAGCCCCAAAACGGACATGATATTGCATATGTTCCAGATGTGAGTAAAAATATCAATCCTATCACCGTGTTGGAAAGAGAAAACTGAAACAAAAATGTTAAATTGTAATTTTTGTAAAGAGATCGAAGTAAATGCAGTAGCAGTATTAAATGTAACCAAAAAAAGAAGATGAATAGATGACATTTTTGGGATTTTTCATAATGAGTGTAATTTTGTTAGAATTCCATTAGATCCATTTGAATATCCAGTCTTTATTAGCTAGTTCTGCTTTTTTCTGTAAGAATTTCGAGTCTCTTTATTAATATTAAAATAAGTATGCTGCTGTACTTAAAATATAATTCTTCTTAGAGTGCCGTCTCCCTACGGAGGTTGGCAATTATAATGGCTATAAAAAACCGTAAAATAGTTTCGAACCACAATTCAGATTTCTGCTTTATAATCTGAGCCTTCTAAAAATTGCAAGGTAAACAGACGTTGATAAAAGATGTTAAAAGGGACATGGGGAATCTAAAATTTGCATTCCACGACATGTCTTTTACAACTAAGCAGAAATCCTTCTAGAATTGTGCTTCTAGTACTCACACAGAGTAAATCCGAAATAAAATGAAAAAGACAGCAAATATTTGATTTCACGCAAAACAAATCCTATGTATCTGTTAATACGTATTTCGACCAAATTTCAATCTAGAAGCCGGAGACAGAATGAATGAATTCTATATAACATGTAGCTTCTCCATTTAAAAAAAATTTAAAGTGTTTGTTTGTCTTTGTGTATTGTATTGTTATGTCCAAATTTACATGTATGACATTCTGCTCATGTCGGATAGGCCACAACTGACGAAATGCCCTGAGGATGATCTATTGATCGAAAGTACTTGGGAAAGATTTAATTAATTACTATGTTCGATATTTGCCTTGTATACTATCAAAGTTCAATTATTCGAACATTCAACCTTATATTGATTTTTCGCGTCCATATAGAAGCCATTTTATTGTTGCTTCTTAAAAGGCAGAAAATATTGATTTCTCACGTTGAGAACTCCTATGAATAGCTGTTTTGATGAGACCTGTTAGGTCGAAATACGTATCAACAGATACATAGGATTTGTTTGCGTGAAATCAAATATTTGCTGTCTTTTTCATTTTATAATGGCTATTTTTATTTTAGAACTTGCTGCTCTAAACAAATCAATCGATTTACATTGATACTAATCACCTAAATTCTTTAACCATGAGTTCTTCCTTCGGCCAACAGATCTTCTTCCTTGAATCTTTCCCTGTATTATCAGTCTCAAAATTTCATATTTTGGTCCCCTCATCACGTGGCCTAGGTATGCCAGTTTTCTGGTTTGTATAGTGGTGACTAGTTCTGTTTCTTTACCAACCTTCTCCAGTACTTCTTTATTTGTAATTCTATCACTCCATGATATTTTCAATACTCTGCGGTATAACCAGAGTTCGAAGCCCTCGATTCTTTTTATATTACATTTTCTTAATGTCCAAGTCTCAGCTCCATATAATAATATTGAAAATATATATAACAGCGAATGGTACGTAGTCTGATCTCCAATTTAGATTTTTGCACGTTAGGAGTGGCTTCATTCGTATAAATGCTGATCTGGCAATCTCTATTCGCATGTTTATTTCTATAGTACGATCATTGGTTTCATTGATCAAAGTTCCCAAATACTGATATTTTTCTACTTGTTCTATCACGTTACCATTGATTGTCAATATGTGATATATATTTTGTGGCCTTTTTGTAATTAGCATGTACTTCGTTTTCTTAGCGTTTATAGTAATTTCCATCTCAGCACTATTCATACTCAAGCTTTCTATACTCGTTGCTATGATCACAGTGTCGTCTGCATATCTTAAGTTGTTAATTAATTTTCTGTTAACGGTGACTCTCGCTTTGACATTATTGAGCGTGTTTTGGAAAATTTTGTTCAGAATATAAGTTAAACAAAAGTGGTGATAAAACACATCCCTGTCTAACTCCTCTACAGATCCTCATTTCTTCTGAGTATTGCCCATCAATTTGAACTATGGCACTTTGGTTCTAATATAATGACTGTATACACTATATTTATGATTTTACAGTCAATGCGCTTGTTCATAAAATAAAATATAATACTTTTATTAAGCAATCCGGCTTCATTTTTCTTTAGGTTATCTAAAATTTCCTTAACTTTCATGTATATTAAATATATCATACCTTCACCTATAAATTTCTACTTCCATACATATTCCATATTCTCGATCATCGTAATCCTTAATTCTTAGCTTCCTTTCTGTTTTCTTTCTTTTTTTTCCTTTCTTCGATTTCCGAAGTGGAAATTGAAACGTCAATAAACGTACTTTAACCTTTAATTGTGGGTTATTCTCATTTAAATAGTAATTACTTTCTGCTTTGTTTTATATATTTATTTATTTTCTTTTGTCTTTTGACTGTAATGGAACTGTGGTTGTGGTACAAATATGTACCATATGACCAAGGGAGTACAAACATCATTGAAATAAGTGAGTTATTACTAAAATTTTGTATAAAACTTGATTTAGGCTTATTAAACGAAGGAAACAAACTATTTTTTATATCTTCACAACCAAAGGAAGGTGATTAATATAATTATAGTCACGACTCACATGGCTAGAACTGTTGAGATCATCGACATATCTGTTTTGATGAAATAGCCTATTAGAATAGGTATTGCAAACCTATGTAGTAAAACAATTTTGGAAGCACATCATGCACCCCTGAAATATTGTCTAGGCAGAGTTAAATTGTCGTTGACATAACGGCCGAGTTGTCATGACAGCATTCGAAGACAAATGTTTGGAGATAATAAAGAATTCCAACAGATATGTACCCTAGTGGAATGAAAACTTTGCAAATCATAAGTCATAAGTCAAATAAAAATTTAAATTCTCTAAAATATCAGATAATTGGGGTGATAATCGCAAAGTTCTCACTGGATGTAATAAGAAACTGTGAAGTGCAAAATGAGAAGCGTGGCGAGGACATTGAAAGATAATATATCAGGCTGCAGAAATGTGCAAGCTTCATAAAATTCTTTTCCGATAAGTATTTTCTCACTATAAGAAGTGCCAGGTAAATACACTCAGCATGGTGGAGAGATGCACCTTGAAAGAACTTTTCAGGCTGCTCTTTTCTGAGTCTAAAACAAAGCTGATACCACTAGGTACATAAAAACTGACCAAACTCCATACTAGTATTTATGGTTCTACAGAAATGTGGCTTTTAAAAAAAGAAGTCGTAAACTAGGACAAAATCAACTAGACAATAAACCCATTCGAGCCAAATAAATCGCCGGGTCAGGACGAGACTTATCCAATACTTCTACAGAAGAGAAAAATTACTTTCTATACAAAAATCATGCAAGCTACTATAGGCTAGCTCAGGATTAAAGTAGATACAAAAGCATGACGACTTATAAGAGTATCCTTTATATTTCAATCTGGCGGAATCGGAGAGAAAAAAGCTAAGCCCTGAGTCCAATAAGTCTGATGTAATTGATACTAAAGACTGTAAAAAAATTGGTCAATGGGAACATTAAGTATGGGTTGAAAGTTCAATTTATAAAAGACAGTATGCATATCGATCAAGACTGCGAAAACGACACTACACCTCGTATATCGGGTGCAGAATGTTCTGGAAAAGTCAGTAGTATTGGGTGCATTTTTTGATACAGTAGCAGCCGTGCGATGTGCGCAGCGTTACTGCGGAATACCGTATATACTGGGGAAAACATGTAGGGAGAGACTGTTCATAGAAGTTTATTATCTCTTTTTTAATCTTATAGCTAGACTGTGACGACAGGCGTCATTTCCTGGGTCACTCGGATGACTTGGTTATCTTAGCCCATGAAAAATTTAATAGCATAGTCAAAGATATAATGCAACAGGCTGTGACTGTAGTTATAGAATGGACTTCAAATGTAGAGATTAACATAAGCCTCCAGAAGTCTAAAATCATGAAATTTACCAGAAGGAGAAATTTAGAGTCATTGAATTCTTTAAGCCTACATAGTATATATCTAAATCTGGTGAGTGAAGTATAGTGTCTTGTATTTTCTTGCAAGTATGAACTTGCAAGAAGAACACATTTCGGAAAGTATCGGGTTACTCCAAACATATATGGTGCCCATCCCCTAGACCTGTATAAGTTGGTACAGGTTTCCAGAATCCTGAAATGGGTATTATTAGTGAATGAAAAATACATGGCCTCCAGAAAAAATGACCTCTTAGTTTTCCTCTTTCATCCATTAACCTTGATGGGTTGCTATCATGCATGCGTTTCATTGTCTGTGTTTTATTTAGCTATAGTCCATACGTCTTACTTCAAAAAGCAAAACATATGGACTATAGCTAAATAGGACTAAGACAAAGATCATGACAGTAGAGAGGGCTCGGAATAATCTTCAACACATTAAAGAAATTGGAGGCTTTGAAGTAGTAAATAGTTTTATATACCTGAGGTTCCTAATAACAAATGACAGAGGGTGGGACAGAGAGATACGCAGAAGGTTGACTATTTCTAGAACAGCTATGATGAAACTGGTAGCAATTAGGAAAAATTCTAGCATAACAATACACACAAAACTAAGGTTGGTAAGGGCGCTCATTTTTTTCATAGCCACATATGCATCCAAAAAGTGGACCTTGAAGAAAGCGAAATAAAAATAAACTGGACGCTTTTGAAATGTGGGTATACCGCCACATGTTGAGAATATCCTGGATTCTTCATCGTACTAACGTATCGATATTAGAACAACTTGAAGTAAAGGATAGATTGCTTAAACAAATACAACAGAGATATTTGCAGTATTTTGGACACATTGCTAGAAGAATAGGTACGATGGACAAACTGATAGTCGAGGAACAAACTGATAGTTGAAGGAAAGACACATAGGGGAAGATTTCCAAGCCGTTGGGTAGATCAAACAAAAATATTGATTAACCAAGGGTTACATGAAGCCGAACAACTAGCTCAGAACAGAGAAGGATGTAGGAAAATCGTGAAAAAACTGTAAAGGCCTGATGGTGTCACCACATCCCAAAAGGGATTAGGACTGAGGAGGAGGATATTTTCATTGACACTATTTGTCCTGCATAGTTAAGTGATCCTGGTTTACTGAGATTATTGTTTATTTCTTTTTGTATTTCTTTTGGTATGTGTTCGCTTTTAAGTTGATTAAGATCTACTAGTAAAATCAGTATTTCTTTTAGTTCCTTTGATATTGCTTTTATCACAGAGATTACATTATTTGCCTCTTTACTGTCAGTTCTTGGTATCATCCTCCGTTAAAGAAAGTGAAAGGCATATCAAATATAAACAGTAAACACTATAAAGCAAAATACACAAATAGAACTATATGATTCTGAACACTTGGTACACGAAAAAACTTATTCTTGGCGTTCTGACTGACATATTTTAGGAACAAATTTCTATTTCTCATACAATACTTTAAACAAAATAACCGAAAACTGTAGTTATGCTCAGTCTCAGTGACTAAAAATGATGTCTAAATTTTTTTTAGATATGAGCCTATTGGAGCATATTATGCACGGATAAAATAAAGAACATAGAACGTAGAATATTGAAAGATATAGAGTGTTTTCTATTGATAATTTAGAGAGCTAAATAATTTACAAAATGTTAAAAAATTATCATATTTACCTTACTAAAGTGAGGTTCCAATGTGGGATCCAAAAATCCCCATGTCATTGATACCACGATCATAATAAAACAGGTCATCATGATCGGGGTCAATTTCAAAAGACTAGTTAATGAACCAGACTTAGATTCAATCTTGGCTTCTGAAATACATTAAAACAATATAAGTATAATAGCATTAGTGTCTTTTATAATCTTTGTATAACATTAAACTAAGACGACAAATATGTAAACTGTATAACAGAGGAAGTTTATTCTTGTTTGAGTACCAAATTAAGCATGGGTAGCTTTCATAAATATTTGCCGATATTGTTCTCGATCTTGCGCGGTATGTAATAATTAATCTGCTGATTGACCAACGAAGATTTGACGAAGGTTTCGGAACCATGATTATTTCTTTCTACCAATTCCACTTTTTCCCTTGATCTTTCCGTTGAGTATTAATTGCAATATCCAGTATTTGCTATCTTTCAATATATGCTCCAGATATTTAAGTTTTTTTATAGTTTCTGAATATAGTTTTTTACAGTTTTATTAATGCTCCTACAATTTCGTTACGAATTTGAATTTCTTCATCCTGTTTTAGTGTCTCGTTTATTAAACATCCTAGGTATTGTAACGTGTTAAGTAAAACGAGCTTCTAATTTATGTAAATATATTTCTTTATAAGCTTATAGTTCGATAATATCTCATCAACTAGCCAAACAAGATCACCTACTTCAAAGTTTTTATTGTTGCATCGACAATCATATTAATCTTTCATACTGCCACTGGCTAACTTCAGGCGTTCGATATATTCGCACTATAATAGATACCACATTATCACAATAGATACAATCTTAAATAAAAAAAAAATCGAAACAGTAGTTCGCAAAATAAAAACTTTTTCAAATCACTTTTTTCATTAATTGCTTATTCCTTGTATTAGGTTTTATAAACAAATAAAGTCAACATTTAATCAACCGATATTTGAATCGATTTTTTCTAATTCGTAGAGAAATATCAGTTTAGATTTGTATTTTAAAGCTTAATAATTGGCAAATTCCGGTCTTAATCTAGCTTCCTCTCTTAAACATTTAAAAGTTAATTTCATTTTTATGTGGGTTTGTACAAATTGCATAATTGGAAATTATGCTCCTAATTTCACTTTAGTTGTGTACCCATTTCATTTATAAACAATTTACTTCGGCAATTTCAAACATAATAATTAATAGGAATTACTTTTTATGTTCTACATAACGTATTAAAAAAACCTTCAAAGACATGAGTTTAATAACCATTTAAAAATGAAAAAAAAGGTAATAGTGGCCATTATTTTATTGGATTTAATGTTGTTTTAATTGTAGTCACTAAAGTTGTTAAAGTCTTTGAACTTAAAATCTTTGTTTTTTTGTGTTTGGCATATTTGGATTCTTCAACGAACGGTAATAGTGATTACAAACACCTATACTCATATTTCCATTTTTCTTTGAGCTGCTCTTAATTTGTTTGTTAACGTTTTAGTAGAGGTAAGAGTTTCGGTTTGGGAAAGGTTACCAAAGCCACTGTAGTTATATGAAAGGTAAAGACGGAAATTTAATTAGCGATCCGGCAGAAATGAAAAAACATTTTGAAGAATTATTAAATGGTGAGATGGACCACGAAGCAGTAAACAACTGGACGGTTGGAGAAGATGCGATAGTTGAAAGGCGGCCTACAGAGGAGGAGGTGGTGACAGCAATACATGAAATGAAAAATAACAGAAGTCCTGGTAAAAATGACATATGCATAGAAATGATCAAGTTTGGTGGAGAGCAACTACAAAGAAAAATATATCAGCTACTAGTACAAGTATGGGAAAGGGAAATAATGCCATCGGAGTGGTATGAAGCCCGCATATGCCCTCTGCATAAAAAAGGAGACAAACTAATGTGTGACAACTATAGAGGTATACAAAATTATTAACACATTACTAGACACGGTATACAAAATCTTGGCAAGAATATTGAGAAATAAACTAAATTGCTACACGGAAACAACCCTACATGATTATCAGGCCGCCTTAAGAAAGGACTGATCTACTGTAGACCAAATCTTCTCATCAAAGGAGATACAAACGACTTGTTATGAAGTTAAAGTTCCCCGGCATGTTTTGTTTGTGAATTTTAGACAAACATATGATAGAGTCGATAGAGTCAAAATGTATCGAGCAATGGAATATTTGGGTATACCAAAGAAACTGATTCGGCTAGTAAAAACGACATTAAATAACTCTTAGTGTGAAATTGCTTGGCGGGGTCACATATCAGATCAATTTACGGTTGCAAAAGGCTTGAGACAGGGAGATCCTTTCTCCACTATATTATTCAACTTATTGTTAGAAACTGTAATCAGAAAAAGCAACATGAAGGTGAAAGAAACAATCATGAAAAATGAGCACCAGTGCTTGGCATTTGCTGACGATTTAACGATCCTTAACCCGAAACCGAGAAAGAATTAAGAAGAGTTGTAAAGAAAATCATCGAAGAAGCACAAAAATTCGGATTGGAACTAAATGAAGACAAAACCAAATATATCATCATGGGAGGGACAGAAAGGAAAAAGAAGACTTTGGTGTGAGGTCTGTAAGTGGTAAAAGCTATAGTTTTAAAAGGGTGGGCAAATTTTAATACTTGGGTGTAGTTTTCAATGAAAATGGAAAAGAAAAATGGGAGCTGGAAGCCAGAATAGCAAAAGGGAATAAAAAATTAGGTAGTTTAAGAGCCCTACTGAACTCAAAATACGTTTCTAGACAAGGTAAACTCTGAATATATAAAACAGTAATTCGACCCACAGTAATATATGCCAGTGAGACATGGATATTAAATAAGAAGGAAGAGGATACTCTGGAAAGATGGGAAAGGAAAATATTGAGACGCATATTGGGAGGACGGACGACAGAAGATGGTTGGGAGAGAAGAACCAACAATGAATTAATGTCAAGTCACAAAGAATCAATGTGGAAAGAAAGGCAGCAAACATAATGCTCAAACTAGTAATAACCAGAAAACTATTCGACCCCAAAAGAAAAGGTAGACCCAGAACGAGGTGGATTAGTAAAGTGGAGGAAGACCTTAACCACGTGAAGGTGAGGAACTGGAAAAGAAAAGCACCAAATAGAAGCGAATGGAGAAATATTGTCCACCAGGTCCTTTAGAGTAGTTAAGAATGTTGTATATACATATTTAAGTTAAAGTTTTGTTTAAAATAATTGTAATTAGTTAATATTAGCATTACGTTTAAAAAAAATGCCCTAGGCCTTAACGGCCTGTTGTGCGTAAAAATAAATAAATTGATTAAATATTTACAGACCCATGTATTTTTTAAATGTTCCTAATCACTGCCCCGCTTCCTTTATATTTAGCTACATTACTCTATGTACTTTGTTGTATTTACTAACTATATTTATTAATAGTTAATAGATAAAGTATATAAATAGGACAATAGGACAATAGCATTGTAAACAAGATTTATTATTGCGGTCAATCTCCTAATGTTAAACATTTGTAACAATTGCTAAATAGATCGGTTATTATACATTTTTTAAACTTATACATAATAGAGTTTGATTCGAATTCGTAAACATAAAAATAAAACATTGAATAACAATGAATTCCTGTAATTACTAAAAAGGTATAATTTTTATAATAAAATTTATGAGATTGGCATTGCCAACTGACCAAACTATGATTTGAGTTAAAAAAAGTATTTTCCACATAAGAAGACTATTTTGCAATTAAATGCTGGTAACTTTATTACTAGCGGACCAGATAAGCGGCGATATATTTTTCACTACCTTTATGAATAACATTTTACTGCTCTATTGTTTCAATCATCACTGCTCAACAAGTTATCGTTTAGTGATTTAAATATTTTATTACAATAGTACGAGTACTGAATATTTATTTAAAAAGTGAATTTATAACATGTTCATTTTTTTTTCTTCTGGCGTATCGTATAATGTAGGTTTACCCAATAATCAAAGTTATGCCTTTACAAGAACATATTGTTTGAAAAAAAAAAGGAGTAGTACCATTTGTCATAATGTCTAGAAATCTAGGTCTAGAAATAAACACCAACAAAACCAAAGAAATGCGATTTGGTACCAGAAACAACCAACCTATTATGATCAACGACCAGGAAATTGAGAGAGTAGCGGAATTTGTATATCTGGGCAGCATAATTGACTGTAATGGGGGTACAGAGTGTGATGTACATGAAAGAATAAATAAGGCTCGCAACGCCTACAACATGCTTAACAACATATGGAAATCCAGGATTTACCCAACTAAAACGAAACTAAAAATCTTCAACACAAATGTAAAAGTTGTATTACTGTATGGCTGCGAAACGTGGAAGATATCAGCACTCATAGTACACCAATTACAAGTTTTCATCAATAGAGCGTTACGAAAAATCCTTCGTATATTGTGGCCTAACCGAATCTCCAATGAAAATTTATGGAACCAAAGCAACCAAGAAAATGTCATAAAGCAAATAAGGCGAAGAAAATGGAGATGGCTGGGCCACACACTCCGTAGACCGCCAAATGACATTGCCAGGACAGCGCTGGATTGGAATCCCCAAGGCCGACGGAAAGTAGGCAGACCTAAGGGAACTTGGAGAAGGACAGTACTGGACGAAGGGAGAAAAATGGGAAAATCCTGGCTTGAAATCAAAGCACTAGCCAGAAATAGAGTTCGCTGGAGACACTTTGTGGAAGCCCTATGTTTCTCTTAGGAATCTTGGGACTATATATATATATATATATATATATATATTTATATATATATATATATATATATATTTGTCATAATAATTGTACCTAATCTTCTTTATACACACTTTAAAAATTTGTGTAGTAATTATTTCTTAAACCCACACTATTATTGAAAAATGATTCATGCTAAATATTTTTCTGTTAAAGACACTGTTATCGACAAAGTAGATCAAATTCAAACTTGTTATTATATTACACTTCTGTTTATTGTTAAAAATTAATTGATGGTGGAGGGCTGTATTGGTGTTATTTATTAATTTAGCAAAATACATTATCAGCAAAAATCTTATTTAAATACATGCGAATGGTTGTTGCAATCACAATCAATGCAGTGTTTATGCTTGTTTAGCATTGGCTGTTCGTAATAATTTGTGTTCGATTATTTCGTCTGTTGTACAACCCTCGTTCTTTTTAGGGTAATATAATAATATATAATAATAGTATATAACATGATAGTGTAACATTAGTAAATTACTTACTTTGAGGCCTTTCCAAAATGAAAATATTTAGCGGTGCAAGTATCACCAGAATTATTCCTACTACATAGAATGGGAGGCCAAAGCCTCCGATCTTCCTAGAAAAAAGACATTATTAATATTATCTTTGACAACACAATAAATATAAAAAATTTGCTTCAAATCTGCGTTTATGTAGGTATATTGTGTATGATTTTTAATTTGTCTTGTATTTATATTTGAAGACAAAAAGGAAGCACTTGTTGTATTAATACTATATAGAGAAAAATAGCCGAAATTGTACCGGCGCCAATATTGTACCACCGCTGTATTTATCCTTTATGAAGAAGCCAAAGCGCTTTTATGTCGTTTAGTGAAACTAGTTACTATTTAGAGTTGAGTGCTGAAGTTTTACAACGTTCACATTTGTCGATTTTGTTTTATCGATTTTTTTTGTATTTCATAGTATTTTCTAGTTCTTTATGTAAGATTACAGCATCGGTAAGGTATGTGCAAACCATTTTAAATACAAGTACAAGAAAAGCACGTATTTAGGTGTAAAAAACCGAGTTGTTTCCCTTTGCCGGGCCATTTTTAGGTTAGGAATCGTAGTTGATTTACATAAAGTTTCCCATATTGTACCACGCTGAGTTGTCTATATTATACCAGTACAATTCTAGATACCATTGGGTATTTAAGACCTACTTATTTTCAAAAATAAATAAATAACAATGGCAAACACCTTCTTGTGTGTTTTAGATGCCTAAAGTAAAATAATGAACGGCATAAGAAGGTGCTAGTTGATCACATTTTAAAACTGGAGACGTTGATGTTTGGCGTCACGATAAATAATGTTTAACGATGTTTTAATAAAAACTCCCACATAGCTGGAAAGAAGTGTTTTTATGCTTTTAAAGCTCGTCATAAGAACATAATCTCGTTGCGCTATGGTGCCCACAAAAGGATTCAATAAAAGTAATGTATACGTCTTTTTCGACCTGGAAAAAATTGTTGAAGAGAATAATATTGATGCAACTCGCATATTTAACGTTTAAACGGGTATTAATACTTAACGGTTTTCTGAGTGCTTTAGAAATTTACGTTCCACGTATGCTTCTATTTAAGCATATGTGAATGGATAATGATTTGAGGATTGGTGATCCACCAGGGAATATAGTTGAGATACTCGACTATATGTCAGAATAAAATCTCTTTGTAAAATGGCTCCAGCTTTTTATTGATTCTGTAAACCCAACAGTAGAAAAAAAGTTCTTTTGATACTAAATGGGCATACCATGCACTCCAAGAATCTTGAAGTAATTTTACGTACTAGATACTACGGTGTATACTGCTACAATTGTCTGGGCATATGATCCATCGCGTGCAGCCTTTGGATATATCATTCTTTAAGCTTTTCAAAGGCTACTACAATCAATCAGTTAAAAAGTGGCTTCATTTTAATCCCGGATTATGTGTTACGCAACTTCACATTGCTGGCTTAATTTCTGAAGCTTATGAGAGAGCAGCAACTATTGAAACTGCAGTCAATGGTTTCCGAACTAGTGGATGGAACAATAGTTGCTGTATGTTTTCAATGGCGACTAAAATTCAAGCAGTATATTGTTAACAAGAGGCACACATTTGGAATAAAATTATTCAAACTTTGTCTAGGAGGTGGTTATACCTACTATTATAACGTTTATTGCGAAAAAGAACATGCTGAAAATTCATTAACCATTTTGAATGATAACAAAAATACAAAGGAAAAGATAAATGTAATTTCAGATAAACATGCAATTGAAATTTGCAAATCAAATCTGGACCCCTTGACCCCACCGAAGGTTAGATTAACCATGAACACGGATCCTTTCGATAATCGATATCTTCTAGAAAGATTAAGAAAACCAGAGATATTAAAATCCATCAAACTGCATCTTGCCTTTCCGTACGACCAACCTGCTTCGGTTTGTTATGGTGGTTTTACGAAAACAAGCATCAAACTATTTTTGGCTTCTGAAGGACTTTTCATGACTATAGAAGATCTGCGAAAAATTTATTTGAAATTTCATAATGCCTATGGAATTGGTCCAGCTGAGGTAGACGAAGATCTAGTTGCGTTTAGGTCCTTTATCGCTGCTGAAAAAATTATCCATCTGCAAAGATCAAGGGAATGTCATCAAAATCACTTTTCCACCGCTTCTCCAAACCGAAATTTTTAAATGTCTCGACGTATTCTGAGGGTTTAGAATCCTCAAATTCAACTGCTAGCAACTTTGGTATGGTTCTTATTAATATTCGATCGATTATTTTTAATAAAGCATTTCCTCTACTGAACATCAGGCCAAAACATTACAAACCTTAGATTACTAAAGGCGAAGAATATATGCGAAGAATATGCGTTTTCTGCTATATATTAAAAAATTTAATGACAGTACCCCATCTCTGATAATATCAATAAGTACAGAAAATGCTATCTAAAACTACTCAAAGTAGCCAAAAAATCCTACTTTCATAATCGCCTAACAAGCTCCAAAAATATTTCAAAAGAAACTTGGTCAATTATAAACGAGGTTCGAAGTAAAACCAGTGCGGCGAATCAAACCTTTTCTTTTCCTTACCCCGAAAATCTAAATGATTACTTTGTTAATATGAGTAAAAATAATTCGTAGTATAAAAAGCAAATCGTCCTGTAGTACAGATGGATTATCTATTAAAATTTTTTAAAATCTTCCGCATAATGTTTTGGATGTCATGAGGTTTGTTCCAACACAACGAAAAACCGTCACGTAACGGTTACGCTCCTGCGCACTAAACAAAATACGTTCCAACAAAAATATGATCGTTCATCTCATCGTCCTTCCGACCGTTCCAACAAAAATTGTGATCGTCCAGTAACGGTTTCGTGACGATAATTTCAGTAATCTGGCAAATGCATGTACTGGGTGGGATGACTTGCGCACTAGGATTTTATTCCACTTATTTAAATTTGTTGGGCCTAGATTTTATATTAAAACTGTAAATTTGTTCAGAAACAGACTTGTTATTTATTTATATATTTGTTTTTGTTATTTATAACTTTATAAATATGACTGACGACGAAAGAATTAGTGATTTTTCTGATTATTATAGTAGTGGGGATGATTTGGAAATATTAGCCGAACCTAGGGTGAAAAATCAGAATTATTTTGGTAGATTATCACCAAATTATGTCAGTTGTCAGAAAATCGTTCCAACATCAGTTTCCAAATTACCGTCATCATACGATACAAATGATGAACATGCGCATTAAAAACGGTACAAGTAGTTTGGTGACGGTTTCCGGACCGTACAAAAATTGCGTGTTGGAACAAACCTATGGTCTCGCTAGTAAATGATTCCCTTGAAAAAGGTACATTCCCTAACTGCCCAAAGACTGCCATCGTTATTCCTCTTCATAAAGGTGGAGAAAAATCTGATGCCTGCAACTATAGACCTATTCCTTGTTACCAGCACTATCACAAATTATTGAAAGGCTTATAAAAGTTCGACTTATGCCCCTTTTTCTTAAACATAATATTTTATCGCAAAATCAGTTCGGCTTTTTGTCTAATAAATGTACTAGTGATACCATGTTTTCTGTGTTACATGAGGTATATCTATCACTAACTAGTAACCTCTCCTCAGCCACCATTTTCTGCGACTATTCCAAAGCCTTTGACTGCGTAAATCACGACATTCTATTAAAAAATTAACTTTCTATGGAATTCGGGGTGTGTCTTTGAATTGGTTCAAAACTTACTTGGTAGGTAGAAAACAATTGGTTAGAATAAAAGACACCGACTCTAGTTGTAAATATATTGAGTGTGAAGTACCGCAAGGTGACATCACTTACTTGAAAATTAAAGGGAACATTTTTCTATTTGCTGATGATACCAGTATTACTTGGAGCAACTCTAATATTTCAACGCTTCATTCAATTATAACTGCTGATTTGCTTATAATCAAGGCTTGGTCAGACTCCAACTTACTTAGCTTTAACGTGGATAAGACAGTAGCATTATCTTATAAAGGAGTCATTCAACCCTTGCTTTTGAATGAGAGTTAAATCAGTATCGTTAATTCCGTGAAATTTCTAGGTATTTTTATCGACAGTGATCTTAAATCGTCCTTGCATACTGACTCCTTAAGGAAGAAACTAGCCTCAGCTTGCTTTGCAATAAGATCTGTTTCGAAGGAACTAAATTTATCTTCTGTCAAAATGGCATATTTCTCATTGTTCGAGTCCGATCTTCGATATGGGCTTCCATTTTGGGGTTCTAGTACAGCGGCCTAATTTGATACTATTTTTAAGTTGCAAAAAAGAGCAATTCGTTATCTATTTGGTCTCAAATAAACAACCCATTGCAAGACCTACTTCAAAAATTACGGAATTTTGACGCTTCCCTCTTTATTTATTTTGGAAACGGTTTGTTTGATTCGAAAGCATCTAAACATTTTTCCCGATAGATCTGATCATGGCTACTCCATTAGAAATTCGGATTGTAACGTTTATTTACCGATTCTGTCCACACAGCTAGTAAAGAATTCTATTCTATATAGTGCAAAAAACTTTATAATCACCTTCCAAGAAAAATTAAATCCGCAACATCTTTCATTAAGTTTCGTAAGATGACAAAAATCTATCTGTCTGAAAGACCATATTATTCAGTTGACGAGTTTCTTAATGTATAACAAAGAAACAAAATTAGTATTGTTTATAATTACATTTGGATGTCTCAAGCAGTGGCTACAATTTGTTTCATTTGTTGTTGTCTGTACAAATTATGTAAGTTATACAATCATTTTACTAATTTAAAATTGTACTGTTCTGTTTTTTTATTATAATTTTCAGTGACAATAAAGAATATTTCTATTCTATTTTGATATATCAGATCAAATGAAGAACTATAATTCGCCATTACGTAAAGAAATAAAATGGCACAGAAAATTATCGATGGAGCTATTGCCTGGCGTAGCATTTATAAATGCCTATGTCGCGCGTTAAAGCATTGCCAATGAAAGCAAGACGATTACCAAATTCAAGGAAGAGGTAATTCGGGGCCTATTAGGAAATTTATATTGTCACACCAGTCATTATGGAAAATAGTCACAAACATGTGATAATGTACAACATGTTACGCAAAAATTGTAGAAGAGGAAAGAAGGCAAGTAGCATAGAGGAAAGCAATCAACACCTCATTGACATGTGATGGCTATAAAAATTCTATTGCCTTGAATTTGCTTTAATATTAATTAGAAACACATTATGCATTAATTGTTTTTACCTGCAATAGGAAATGATTAATGAGTTTTTCGTTGATTCTGAAAAATCATCTTTTCTGAGTTACGACACTATTGTATTATTAGTGTGATATATAACAGTGTTTACTCTTTGGATTAAGAATTAACACAATTTCAGCATACAATACATTGAATTTGACGTTTCGATTTCCATTTCAGAAATTAATTAATCTGAAATTGTAGTTAATTCCCAATGCCACAAGAAAACAGCTTCAAAACATATTTAATATATTATTAACTCACATCAAAAAGCACGCCCCCGATTCCTGGACCTGCGCACAGTCCTAACCCTACAAATGTTTCTAAAATACCCTGAAAATAACATAATATTAGCTGGCTTTATAAATAATTATTATTAAAAAAAGTTTTTAAAGCATACAAATAATGTAAAATTTGAAACTTAGAAACTAGATCCGTATTAGAGCTATGCTTATATTAAAGTATATACAGGATGATTAATTAAAATACTAAAGTTTAGTAGATCAGTTTTAATAAAAGCTGCTAAAAAGTTAGTTATACAAATTATAGGCAGTATTAAGCTTGGTGATTAAATAGTCATTTATAACACCCTACCAGATAATAATACATATTTTTACGTAAAACACCCTGTATTTTACTTTAACTGAAAATTAGCGATATTCTTATCAAGATAGAAATTGAGATTGATATTTACCCTGATTGCGCCAGCATTCTCAGGAAACACATTTACTACTATCACATAGGCAGCAGTAGCGTACGCACTGGAACCCAAGGCGGCAAAGCCTCTTATTACAAACGAAAGTGTTGTAAAACCACCGTAGTCCTCTACGTGATGCAAAGTTCTACAAAATAAAACAAATATTTATATGAAATACAGATTATTCTAGGTAAAAATGTAAAAATACGTTGTATCCTTTAATTGATAATAATTACACACTTTAAGGTTCTAAAAAGGGCCCGGAAATTAAATATTTTGTCAAACAAGGGTGATAGGGAGGACCGGGGATGGTTTGGCATGGGGGATACCATGGGCAGAATCAAATTTTCCGCCATAATATGAATTCTAATACCGCGATCGATTTTACGTGTTGGCAACACTGCGAGAGACTAGCTGACCAAACCATATTGTTACAGTTTAAGTTACAATTATGAGTTTTTTCCTTTCTAAATCATTGATCTAACTCTTAAAGGTAAAAACAGAATTTTTCTGTAACATAGTTTCATGTTTTGTATTTGGCATTCCATTTTAATGCATTGGTGACTAGGAGGGATATATTTATGTATGTTTTATAATCATACCATGTTTGGTTAAAAATTCACGGCCAGAAATGTGTAATTACATTAGTTGGGGATACCTCGGGCAAGTTGTCCATTGTATCCCCGATATAGGTATTTATTAATTATGAACGCACAACATAATATAACCTTATCCTAGATTTTACGAGAATTAAACATAATAATTGAACAGAACTTTCCTGAAGGTGATTCACGGCAGGTGGATTGTATCTTCCTAATAAGGAGCTCTCCGTTGAATAAATATACAATCTATAAACGGGCAAGGCCTGGTGAATAGGAAGTATGGAAATATGTGTAACGACCACGCTAGAGCAGTTCATCTCACCACTTAGCTCTCTGGAATATCTGGATGAACTGCTTCAGCTACCAAGAAGCAGCCAACCCAAGCTAAGGTGTGAGGTAATCGTGCCGTTGGCTGTATGGCTACTGGGTTATATGTGGTCGTCAACGACCCTCTGGGGAAACCAGGCAAACTCCATTGTATAAATCCTTTCCCTATAATGCGTAGCTCTGCCAGGGGCGACCAACCTTTTCCTATCTACTCGTGGAAACAACATAAATGTACAAGAAAAAAACCAAAAACCAAAATAAAATCTTGAGGCTGGACCAAAATGTTCACCTTAGGTTAGTTTAGGTTTAGTTGTCTGGTCCACAGTTGAAGATGGACAGCAATGTTCACCTTCAATCTCGGCCCAAGTCAAGGCTTGACCAAAACGTTCACCTCAACCTGAAGGCGAAGTTGAGGATAGACAGCAATGTTCATATCAAATTTCGGCCCAAGCGGAAGATGGACAGAGGCCACCGAAGGATAATCAACCAAAGTGCCGCAGAATTTGTAGCGCCGAGGCAAAAAAGGAGGAAGCACAAAGCAGTCATGGGAAGAGCATCTGCGGGAGCATCTCATCCCTCTCCAACCCCTCCCAAAACAAAGGTGAAGGTGTCCACATCAGAGGCTGACAAAAGTTTTACCTCCAAAAGAGAACAGAGACTGACAGCCCCCCGTGTGAAGCGCCTTCGACCAAGTACCTCACGGAGGGTACGTCACAGAAACATACAAAGGCACTCATTGGTGGAAATGCCGCTGTCTCTTCCCAAAGCTTCGCGGAAGCCGCCCTTAATACATCTTAAGATCCCTATTATAGATAAGGTACACCAGTACGGAAAAATAACTGCCGACCGGGCAAACCTTATCAAACCCAACCTGATCGAGCAATTGGGCGGAGCAATCTTGTCCACCTCCAGCGGCCAGGTAAAACCGACCACGTTCAAATCGTGGACTTACTCGGATGAGATTATCAGAGTAGTCTGTGATGAAGATGGGGCGCTTGCATGTCTGGAAAAGGTTACAGCTTACCTACCTCAAACCATGGTAGGAGAAATCACTGGCTGATATCTCCACATCCGCAAAAGAGATAACCCAAAAATGTATAGCCAGGAAAACTATAATAATCTGCACAGATAGCAGACAAGTGCTACTAAACTTGAATAGACCACGTGTCACATCACAGTTAGTAATGGAGTGTTACGAGTCACTAACTCAAGCTTCGGATAGTAATAATATCATCTTGAGGTAAGTTAAAGGACACAACAGGAATAAAGGCAACCGAATTGCTGTACACTTGGCTAGGAAGGCTGCAGACTTAAGACTTTCAATATTTACAAAGTTATCTCTTTTTTTAAAATATTATTTATGTTATCTACAAAATAAACAAACAAATTAGTAGGCACGTAGGATAATGGCCAATTGTTAAGTTCAATATTATCACGTATACTCTGTTGACTGAAGGCAGTCCCACCTATCTAGTAAATTTAGTAATTACTGTTTGCTACGTTGGTCAAACTTTGACTTTGACTGAACACGGCTGAATGTTTCTATACAACCAAGCACATGTGCACATAGCCATTATTATTTTAACAAACTGAACAATTATTCACATGTAGTTTATTGACAAAATTAAACTACATTAACACAAAGTTTTAAACATTTATTTTTAAAATGTTATAGTATTTTAAAGATCAATATTTACAAATACACTGGCTGGCAAAAAAATTAGATCAGATTTAAACTTGTGTTTTTGGGTAGTAATTTGTTGGATTGTATCGGTTTCTTAGTAGGCGGTGATATATTATTGCTCCCCAAGAAATAATGTTTTGTTTGTTGTTGTTCTGTCAGTTTAGTCGCGTACTCTCATCATATTTACGATGTTTACTACTTTTTTTATGAAATATCTGCACCCGTTTTGGTGGAACGTTTATAGTTAATTGCCAATTTTTTAATTAACAGCTTACAGAGTGGTACAGCGTATTGTTAAAGGTGTATATCTAATGAATATTAAGGCCTTTACTTTTATTGTAGCAAGATTCTTTTACTATAGCAAGAATTATAGCATTGATACAAAATGGCTGCGGACAACGTGAAACTACAAGAATTGTTAGAAGGAGTCAATGTGCAGTTCAAAATAGGTATCAGCGCTATGAGGAGACTGGTCTGATAACCAGAAGGCCAGGATCTGGGGAAAATTGAATCACCATCCAAAGAGATGATCAGTTTGTGGTCTCCGCAGATTTGCGGAATAGAGATGCCTCTCAGGTTTTCTTACAAAATCAACTTCAAAAGGTGAGAAATGTTAATGTTAGTGAATGGACCGTTAGAAAAAGGCTGTTGGATTATAATGCAGAAAGATGGCTAGAGGCCCACCATAATAACGCCGGCATTGGATAGCAAGAATAAATTTTGCCCAGACTCATCTTCATTGGAATAATGTAAAGTGGACTGTACTGTTTTCATATGAGTTGCTTTTTTGTCCTAATGGGTCAGATGGACGCCAGCGAGTATGGAGAAGATGTGGAGAAGGATATGTTGCGGCTTGTATTGATGAACGACTACCATTTGGCGGTGAGTCGGTTATGGTCTGGGCAGGAATTATTTCATAAGTATGCATGAGTTAGTCTCTATACATACTGGCTTCCTTACGGCTCACAGATACTTTACAGAAGTTTTAGATGATCATGTTATGAATTTTATTATTATTATTGGCGAAATGGCATTTCCATGCAAGTTAATGCTGGACTCCATACTCCAGAGTTCTCAAAGAATATTCTGATGAAGTGAAAATTAGGCGATTTAATTCGCCACCACTCAGTCTGGACATGAATGATATTCCAGATGGAAGAAGGTCTGTAAGGCGGCCTAGAAAAAGGTGGAAAGATGCAGTCAGAGAAGATCTAGAGAAGATGGGAGTGCGACAATGGGAATTACTGGCACAGGACCGACAAACATGGAAGGCAATAGTAAACGCGGCAAAGACTCACGAAGAGTTGTAGCGCCATTGATGATGATGATGATTACTTATTATTTTTTTTTTTCAATTAAAGAAATCTGCTATAGTAAATATATAAGTTATCAATAAGGTGTGGTCTTACAACTATAATATAGGCTTAAAGGCCTGCCTTAATTAAAAGTGGTATATGCATTGCAGTGACTATACTCTATATTTAAAACTCGTTTAAGCAAACGAGAATACACAAGTATAGGCGGACAACGTAATCAAAAGAAGATGACTCCCAGCAGAATGGATTTCTTCTTATTTTGCCCTTCTGTCGTGGTCCAGCGACGCCTAGGAAACTGTTTGATGGTCGACAAATTGCAAGTGAAGCAGTGGTTAGTCATTAGAGTATATAGAGAAAATGAAGAAAGAACTAATTAAAGACCCAGTAGACTTATATTAAAGCCTCGTTTAAAGAACGATCATAAAAGAAATTAACTTTAATAATTTTGTCATTGAAAATGTGTAACTTTTACAGTTTAAGATTTACTTAATAAAATAGAATAACTTTTTTGATTCATAGCTCCAAATCATCTATAAATTTTGTGGAGCACTATATTTTTCGGTTTGTTTTCGAAAATTATAAGATATAAGATAAAAATATTATAATCAACTTACCCAAATATCACAGTACAAATCCCTGATGTAAATAATCCAATAATAAATAAAAATTTAACTCCAATTTTTGGACACTGAAACAAAAGTAAATCTTTAAATAAATAAGAGTTAAATTGTCTGTTTGGTTTTTCTCACAAAAACTTTATAAACGAAATTAAATTCAAATAAATTATATTTTTCCAATCAAACCAATCGAAGGAAATTAAGATAAGGATCGTGAAGGCAAGATCAGCTTTCGTCAAAATGGAAAAAATCTTTTCAGCCACGACATAAAATTGGAAATAAAAGTTCGTTTACTAAAATGCTACGTATTTTCCGTTCTGTTATATGGCGTAGAGTCATGGACCTTAACTGAAGCATCACTGAAGAGACTCAAAGCATTTGAGATGTGGTGCTATAGACGCATGTTAAGGATTTCCTGGATATACAGAATTATCAACGAAGAAGTACTACATAGAATGGGTAAAGAGCGCGAACTTCTTCTGCCGGACCTTGGTATCCGAGGAAAATGATCAGTATACATGTTCTTATGTGCCATTATAAATGAACTAAGGAATAGTAATGGGGTGGTGTCCCGTTCCATTTCCTATCGCAGTACCACAAACATTTAAACTGTTCCAGTCATGCTCCAGCCGATCTAAGATCATTTCCTTTGCGCCTTGAGCTGGTAATAATGATCGCAATTAACGTTACATACTTACATATTTACAATCTAAATAATTTTTGTATATTCAGCTAATAAATTTTATTTTTAGATATTCGACGTTTTATTTTTAGATATTTTTAACAAATTTTGATTTGCACGTTAAAGAAATTTAAAGAAATTATTAATTTTCCAATATCTTTTCCTGCTATAATTTTACACTGTTTTACAATTTCACAATTTTACACATTAGTAGGGCATAATAAGTTAATGTTAGTTATTATTCGTATATTCATCGTATATTAATTCATATTAAATTACTCAATTAGATAACTGAAGAGGAAACCATATACGCACATATCAGAAGTAGTTCTGTGAACATTCAATGCGTCAAGATAAGTTCATTCCGAAACAAGCTTAATCGGTTGAATAATTTAAACAATTTTATAGAGACTATTTGGTATTTAAATTAAAACCTGAGAGTTATACATATTTTGAAAGTTTAAAAAAATATAATAAAAACTATACTTTTATAATTTTGTTCATAAATGCCATATTCATATTGTAGGAATTTATGTAATGTGGCATAGGTTATAAAGGGCAACCCCCAGTTCATTAAACAAAAAATTTTTGGCTATTGTTTATTTATGAGCGCTTATAGGTGCAAAATATGTATTTTTTGAGTTTTTTTCATTTTTTGCCTAAATTAAGTGTTATAATGGGTAATTTCTGTATAGATTAATTATGAAAGTACTCTAAAAGACCTTCAATTTGAGCCGGTATACGTTCAATTTAATTGATTTGTTATTTAAAAAATGACAAATGAAGGTCAAAATTAAAAAACGTAATATTTATTGCAAAATTGTATTTTTTTTATTTCAAATAATATATTACATTTAAGCCTATAAAATTACAAATCGAATGAGCTATAGTAGACCTAGATCGCTTAATTTGTCGCTGAGATACGTTAATTAGTTTATCTCACGACCTTCAACTTTGAATGCTCATAGGATTGCCAAAAAAAATGGTAAAGGGCTAATTCTTGTTTCATTCTCTTACTAAAGCCGTACATTTTCATATTACTGTGGAAAATAATGAAAAAAAATTTTGTTTTTCTTTTTTGATTACTATATGCCGTTTTTTGGGTCTATTTCTAGAATTTTCTCTATGCCATTCACAGTTAGTTTTTTGTACCCTATCTTTACGTTTTTACCCTGAGATCTTAATTTCTTGCCTTTATTTACCATTTTACTGCCTCATGTGTCTTCACTTTTCGGTCAATTCATTGTTGCTGAAGATCTTTTCTCCAGTAAGAAATCTGCGTCTGCGTGTTAAGAAATAATTATATTCTTGTTTATATTACTAAACAGAGAATTCAATAACCTTTCAAATGAGCTAGGGCACGATCCCTATTCTCATTTTTTTAACAAAATCACCTAGACTACGTCTCCACGCCCAGATGGATACCTATCACTAATATAATATATACACTTCAAAAAAATTATCATTTAAAAATTAAAGTCGACCTGTTTCGAAATTTCTCTTGAAAACCGCTCATTCTCAAATGAATTTATTCCATAATTTTGCCCCTCACTGTATATATTCTTGCCAAAAAAGGAATAAATATAAAATGCTCGTATTCAAACGGATATTAATTATTAAAATCATATTTCTGATTATTTAAAATATTAAAATATTGTTGTAACGGTTGACAGAAAAAAATACTTACAATTTTACCGAATATAGGAGATGAAATGAAAATGACTAAAGCGAAATAGCCGAATACGAAGCCTGCCATGGATTGTGTCATCCCCCGATGTGCAGCTTCTTGTGGATAAAAGGGTGCCATAATAGACATTGAGCAATAACACATAAAATCTGCTGTCATTAACATTACTAATGAGCATTTTTGCTTCCATGTTATCTTCTTTCCTTTGCTGTAACAAACAATATATTTTAGTTTCAAACTCAGGTTATGTTTAAATTGGTTTCATAATATATTCTCATATAGAGGTCATTACTGTCGTAGTTACACTAATGTGATATGTTACAATAATTGCCAGATTTCTTGGGGCCGTTTCTTTTTAATTCGAGTAAACACAAGTCCATCCCGATGAGTGGAAAACCACGAAATACATATGAGCTTCCCTAATCCCAGAAGGTTACGGCAGCCTATTACTTTCTTATTTTTGGAGTTTTGACAAGTAATATTATCTTTCTGACTATTTTTCCATATATTCAACACATAGGTACATAAAAAAATTTAATTGATGACCAAGATTATTCCTGATCATCAAATTTAGTTTCAAAGTATGATAGATAAACCTTTTTAACGTCTGTATTTGGTGTTTTTTAATCACAAACTCATTAAAAATATATCAAAACCTGCCAACATACAACGAAAGAGAGGAAGGATAGGTAAAGTTTATTTAATAAACCTTCGCTTGCTAAGTGAGTCCAGTTTCGATGTGACCGCCATATTTTAGTGCTTGTTCGTTGCCCATTACTATTTCTTGCAGAGTTGCCATGTCTATTAATATTTCAGTAGATCTACTTATTTCAACTACTGAATTTACTGATCTACTGAAACACTATATCGATCTACTAAACACTATATAATGATAAAATCATGTTCAAAAGTGATCGTTATATCAGTAGTCAATTATAAATTTTGAAAAAAATCCATTTATTGATATATTATCCTATATCTACTGAAAAAATAAAATATGACCTGGCAATCCCTCTGGTGCCGGAGGGCGCCAATATATACTAAGCTAATACTAAACAAAACATCAGCTGTTAACAGAATTGTGCTTCATGTTTTACTTGTTTTTATATTGTTACTATATAAAAGCTATAAGTTCTAGACTACAAGCTCATGGAAGATTTAAAATAGATCATTGGACTCAGTATGCATTATATATAAAACAATACTAAAATATGCAATAATAACTTTAGAAACTATCCCATCAATCTTAAGCGGTACATGTGAGTCACAGGTAAGATAAACTTACAACTCTAGGGGGGACAGGACTTTTTTGCCAAATATATTTGTTCGGCATTTATAACTTTGGTAGGCAATACAAAAATATTGACCTGCGACCTAATCCCGTACAAAAATATTGATACCAGGAGTAGCGAAAATATTTTATTTTCGGAAATCATTTCGTTTTTCATACACAAAGTTTCGTATCGGTATAGATTAATGTTTTTGCAACGGCGTACATTTCAGCTGAAACAGGGATGAGAAATCTAAAGGGCAACCCTTAATTTAAACCACATGCTTTGAGTACCTATAATAATTGGTGACATACTTTCTTAAGTTTGGCATACTGTGCTTTTAATTTTGGAAAAACAGTTTGCATTTAAATAATGTGTATACTTTTCAGTGGATACTTTTCAAAAGAATTTTTTAGGCTCGACAAAAATACAAGATGGCATATCCAGTTTGGTAACTGCCTTTAAAAAGAGTTTTATCACCAAAAATGTCTCCTCTGGGTTTCAAAAATGTTACATTTGCCCATTCAACTCAAAAGTATTCTCTAACCTGGACCTTTTTCATTTTGAAGTTGACTTAATCAAAGGAAACCTCCTTGGAAACCACTCAGAATGAAAACACAAGTAGCCCAATTTAAGTACAGTTGCATCCTACTATAAACTCAGTTACATCCATCGAAAGTACAGAAGAAAATTGCCACATGCATCTTTTTACAGTGTCTTCTAAGAAAATCTTACATTTTGCCAAAGCTAAAATGTCTACTGAAGTTAAACACCGGCCCAGATGCTAACATCGTAACAATAGTCTTCTTGAGCAGCTTGTACTGCATAATTTTGTATCCTTTTCATCTATAGACAGTCCAAGATATTGCTGATAAGCTTTTTGGACTAGATCTATGATATGCAAAAATATGGACTTTGTGCAAAGCTTGGGGTTCAAAGGGGTAGTAAAGCGCAATATAAGATGCTGTTTCCAGTTAGCATTCTATAGCCTCTCCTACTTAATCCCTATCCTCACCTAAACGAAGTGCGGCTTGGGCTGCACGGGTAAACCGTGGAAAATCTGAGCAACTTTGCTGGAGATTGGGTAACCAACCCCAATGGAAGGCAGGGTTAGGGCTGACGAGGGAGAACTACTGTCAAGAAAATCAATGTTGCAATCAAACGAAACAAAAAAGAAAGGGAAAGAAAGTGCCAATAGAACGAAATTTATATTCCTGTACAGCGGAGTATGCTATGCCGATGATGCAGTACGAATTGCTGATAATGAAGATGACCTACAAAGGCAGCTCCACACCTTCAATATCACAGTAAACAAACTTAATATGAGAATATCAGTAGAAAAAACTAAATGTATAGTAATCAGTAAAGAGCCGCGTAGATGCAAACTAGCAATAGACGGCAAAATTGTAGAACAAGTAACGAAATTCAATTGCCTAGGAGTAGAAATCACTAGTGATAGGGATATAAGAACAGAGACCACAAGGCAAGCATAAAAAGCAGCAAGAGTAAGTGGTTGCCTCCGAGAAACCATATGGAGAAACAAATATCTGACCATGGAAAGCAAAATGAAAGTATACAAGACAACAGTAACACCAATCCTAACATATGCAGTGGAGACAAGGACCGATACAAGAAAGACGAAAACAACAAATCAACAATATCGAAATGAAAGTATTAAGATCAATAGCGGGCATATCATTAATAGATAGGCAATCCAAAAAAAGTATACGCGAACAATTCAAAATTTAAAATATAAACAGGTAGATAAAAACAAGAAAAATGACTGGAACGAATATGTAAACCGAATGGGACCAGATAGATTAGCGAAGAATAAGAGGCAGACAAACAGGAGTAATCCTAGTCGCACGAAGAAGAAGAAGTGCAAAGCTTACCGAAATATTTAATACAGCACGTAAACAATTACAAGAAATTTTTTTTAAATAGCTGCTGTCATGTCAAAAAAGCTAACTGAGCCAAACTGCGCATGCGCATATGTGCCAGGTACTATGAAACTTACGACTATCTTTATTTAACTACTCGCTAAAATCAATCTTGTATGTAAATACATCCTTTATAGTGTTCATGCAAAAAACTTAAAAATAATAAATTTTAAGAAATTAAAAAAAAATTAATCAGAAAATCTAGACGTGAAAATCGGTCAACGGAGACATTTAGAGCATTAATATCTTCATATTTATAATGAAATTTGTGGAAGCAGAATTTGGTTGCAGATCAGTGATATAAGTTTATTGTTATAGATAAATCAGTTAATTTTACCAGAACCTAAGTATCTTAATCTTTATGTTTATCCCTGTATAAAATTGTGACTTTGTAAGTCAACGTCTTGCAATATAGCACATGAATAGACATAATTGGATAACATTTGCTATACATTTTTATTATCTTCTAAGAATACAAAGCCACTTAATAAATAACACATCTCTTTGTCCTATAAATCCGACCATCAAGTACGCATAACCTGTAATAGCAACTGAATACTTTATTTCCTTTCTTATACAGATTTGACCATGACGACAGTAATATATATATATATATATATATATATATATATATATATATATATATATACATATATATATTATATAATATATATATATATATTATATAATATATATATATATACATATATATATATATATATATATATATATATACATATATATATATTATATAATATATATATATATATATTATATATATATATATATATATATATATATATATTATAGTTTATTCGTCTTCCGGGTTTGGACCGTGTCATTTGTGAGTGACCCAAAAGTGGGTTCATCTCAGACTTCACTTTTGGGTCACTCACCAATGACACGGTCCAAACCCGGAAGACGAATAAACTATAATTCTGACTCTGGCCGTGGAAGCCTACGATTATATATATATATATATATATATATATATATATATATATATATATATATATATATATATATATATATATATATATATATATATACAGGGTGGTCCTTAAGTAATTGTACAAAAAGAAACCATAGATTCTACTCTTTAAAATATTACGATTTAAGTCAAGTTGCTTTAATAAAATGTTAATATTAAGAAAGATACAGGGTGTTAAAGTGGAAATTTAAAATTTTATTTTTTGCTATAACTTTTATGTTTGTCAATATTTATGTATAAAAATTTACAACTGGGTAGTATTAAAAATCAGAAATTTTAATTTGATGTATACTTTGATGTATCTGATAGAGGGCGCCACATATGCCACATACGTGGCATATATTTGCACTTAACTTTTTTGCTTCTCAAGTTATGGGTATTTTTATTAAAAAATATTAAAGATGCATTATTTTAACAAAAAAAAGGTATACTTCTTAATATCCTCAAAACTCAACAGTTATCGAGATAATCGCATTTTAGAAATCAACTACACAATTCTGATCTATCTCAATTACCCCAGACAACGAAAGAAAATTAAAGAAAAACATCAATACTTCTGAATTTTGGTATAAAATTCCTTTAATAAAGTCAATAGTTAACGAATTATTAAATAAAATAAATATATCAGCAGGATAAAATAACAGGATTTGATAAATAACAGAATAATTGGATTTTACATCAAACATTTTACGTTTTGTATTAAATTAAAGGCATAATCAAAACATTTTATTTACAAACCAAATTAAAAAATAGTTAAACTAAATAACGTTGAACTCAATGTAAGTGTTCAATATGTCCACCATTTTCTTTAATTCATTTGTCAATACATTCCATAAAATATCGTCTCATATTAAATAGCATCATTGGTTCTAAAGAAACTGCTGCAGTATTTATTATAAGTGTTATACGTATAATAACAAGTAATTTCTTGAAATTTTTATGAATTAAACAATTATATTAATATTTCACCACAAGAATATGACTACCACGAACAATCCAACGTTCA